ACATAGCTTTAATATTTTAATTATTTTTAGCTAGATTAAATAAAAATTTATTTTATTTTATTTTTTGCACAATTAAATAAATTTATTTTTAAAAAATTAAATAAATTAAATAAAAATAAAAATAAAAATATATGTTATTTTTTAATTAAAATTTTAAATAAATTTATTTTAAATAATAATAATAATTAAATACTGAAATAAAATAAAACACCTATTAAAATTTAAATAATGAAATTAAATAAAATATAAACAAAATTTTAAAATAAAACATCAATAAAATATCTATAAAAAAATATTTTAAAAAATTAAATAAATAAAACAAAAATAAAAATTAAATTAAATTATTTTATTTTTAAATTGAGACATTTAAATTTTTATGAATTTTACTAAATATAATACATAATTAAATACTAGAGGGCAAAAATGTAATTTCATTGTCTAATCCCATGGGATGAGTTATCCCATGGTTTCTATCTCACCTCCCCATGGGATAGGATAGTACCACAAATATGGGACTAATAATCCGGAGCAAAACTGTTGAAATAAATAATGGACTATTAGTCCGGTGGAACTAATAGTCCAATCCCACACCCTAATCCTTCAAAACAAACACACCCTTAGAATATTGTCTAAGACTCACCAAAATATGTAAAATATTGTTTAAAAAAAAAGTGAATGGAGAAATTAGAGAAAAAAAAATAGCAAAATGTGTAAAATATTGATAAATTGAAGGAAAAAAAAAAACGTAACCAAAAAAAAAAGAAAGAAGCAATAATGGGGAAAAAAACATATGTTGTTTTTTAATTTTTGTAAGGTTATAATCTCCAATATTGATCAAACTGAAAAATAAGTTTTGAAACTGTAAAATGTTACAATTTCAAAATAAAAATATGTTAAGCATTTATTTTTATTAATCAAATTGAAAAATATGCTATGAAACTGCAAAATTTGACAGTTCTAAACAATGTTATGAAATTGTAAAATTTTACAGTTTTACACCATAATTCATTTCAGCACCAAAAATATTGAAACTGTAAAGTTTTACAGTTTTTACCGCTTGTAACTAAAACTAGAAAATAACTTGTTCAGAATTTAAAAATTTTCTCCACTAAAGCAGGGAAAAAAAAGTGTATAGTAGAGAAAATGTAGAAAAATTGAAAGATCGAATGAGAGAGACAGATATAGAGAGAGGATTGTACTTCAACAACTATTTTTTATCTAGATCTAGTTGGATATGATATAGATCTACTCAAATCTGATGTAGATTACTCAAATTTACATCAGATTTGTGTAGATCTACTCATTTTCTTCGTCGAAAACATATCTTCTTCATTGTCGATGAGGGCGAAGTAAGGAATCAATGGTCGGTAGTTGTTGATGAACCTCAATCGATGGCGGTCATCGATTGCCCCGTGACTATATATCAAAAAAAGAAATAGAAAGAGAAAGAGAAAAAGCCAAACGTGGTCACCGAAAATCAGGAAGAGAAAGAGGCAGAAAAGAATAAAGGCAGAGAAGAAGAAAAATGTTAGATGACTTTTGGGTATAAACAAAAGGTTGTGAGACTAAATAGGTCACACCTCTTTCAAAGAGGATTTGTTGGTAATTTTCCCTTTTCTTTTTTAGTGATGACTATATTTCTTCTTTAGTTATGACATTATTTTAGTTATCACTCATGCGATTTTTAGTGTTGCCTCTTATTATATTTAGTTATGACATATTTTTTAATTATGATTCAAAAAATATAAAATGTGTCATTTTTTCTTTAATTATAAGGTGCATATAATACATATCCTTTAAAAAGTGTGTACCATAGTGTGTCTATTCTAGAGTAGATTATATATTCTTATGATTTGAGTCATTTGTACAACATTTTACTTGTTCCCAAACCACTGAAAATTGTTCCAAAATGTGATTAAAGACTGAAAAACCAACCCCAACGTTTGGCTAATAAGCTAAAATTATCTACTTGAGAAAATTACATCTAAGCGCAAATCAAAGTTGAAAATTGAAAGCATTAAATTACTTTTATTTATCGAATGTGTCTGTTGAAAATTTGTTCTAAATTTTATACAGAATGAAACGATTTATTGTGATCCTTTCATTTTCAATCAAACACATTCATCATTGTTCTTGTGGTCCTATTGATTTTGAGTGAGCCATCTCAGGGCCAACCTTAGGGATTCAAACACTTTGGGCTCATTTGGTTCAATCTTAGAATCCATTTTTCAAAATCTAAAATCCAAAACTCAAATCTAATTATGAGTTTTGGATTTTCACATCATACATTTCAAATCTTATTTTGAACCCGTTTTTCAAAACCCAAAACTCAGAACTTGTTTGTTTTGGGCTTTACAAACAAGTTTTTAAAACCCAAAATCCAAAACATGTTTGTTTGTTTTGTTTTGGGTTTTTATAGGTTTGTTTGGTTTTCCAGTAATTGTAATTAAAATCGATATTGTTTGGTTTTCAAGTATTGGCTAAATATTTTTTTATATTTGAGATGTATATGATCTATATATATTAAATAGTAAACAAAATGTGAAGAAATCAAAACAAATTTAATAAATACATAAAATATTAAACTTGTATTAGTTTTTAAACTGGGTGAATTTTATTTTATTTTATTTTATTTTTTGTATATTTGTCATTATTCAGTAATTTTATAAAAGTTTTTCATGAATGTGAAACGTTTTAAATGTATGTAGTTTGAGTAAATATAAAACCAAAAAAGAAATATTAAAATTTCTAAAACGTTCATAAAAAATAATAAATACAAAGTGAAACTCTATCATATAGATTAGATTAGATGTATCTAAAAAGTACAGTTAGATTATGTATAAAACAAATTTGAGTGTAATATTGCAAAAAAACATTTGACTACAAGACAAGAAACACAATACCTAAAAAATCTCAAAATTGAGTTTTGAAATCTCATAAATAAAAAAAAAAAAAAACTAGTTTTGATCTTGAATCTTATATGATCTTCGCCCCATTTGGTATCACTTAAAGTCAACTTAGTTAGCTTATTTGATTAAAATAAGTTTTTTTTAGAGAGGATTAAAATAAGTTTAGTAATGGTGTTTGATTGCAATTTTATATTATAGTTTATTTCACCTTTTCAGTTTATTTGGTCCAAATAAGTGAGATTCTCTTAAATTACAATTTGTTATTTTTAGCTTATTTTAAATCCTAAAATTATTATGGACAAAAAAATCCTACCTCTTTTTCCTTAATTATAATTTTTGAGATCATCTTGGCTAATTTATATAACAAAAAGCTCCGTTTGGGAAGTTGATTTGTGGATTTTTTTTGGCTAAAATAGCCACAAAAAAACAAAATAGGCTTTTTAATCCGATAAGACAAAACATCACATACAACCCATAATCATCATATTATTTCTCTCATAAAAAAGTCAAAAAAATAAAAAAAGCCAGAAACCCTTTTCAAACCAGGCTTTTTAATCCCAAGTTAAAATAGTCAAAAAAAGTTAAAAAGTTAAAAAGTCAACCCGCTTCCTAAACGGAGTGTAAACATGTTCAACTTTGGTAAGGCATGTGCTTTCATCCATCCACATCTTCTTGTTGTCTGTATTCAAAGTGCCTAATTATTTTCTTAGACAAGTCCAATCTATTTGTTGTTGATTTTTATGGTCTTCATCTAAAGGGAAGGAGGAATGTTGGAAGAAATGGAGTTCTTTGTGTCAGTCCAAGTTTGCTGGAGGGTTGGGTTTTTGTGATTTGGGTTGTTTTAATCAAGCGTTGTTGGCCAAACAAGCTTGGCGGTTGATTCGTGCCCTTCTTCCTTAGTCAAGTTTTGAGAGCGAAATATTGTAAATCGACTTCTTTTAGCTTGGCCTCTTGTCCGAAATATTGCATGGCGCGATTTGCCTTTGGATTTTGACGTGTCTTTGTTAAATGTGAATTTCTTTGTTGATTGGTTTAGATGGTAGGTGAGAACTGCTCTGGATGATGATGCCAAGTCAATCAAAATAAAAATAAAAATCAATAGTAAATGTCAAATCATGCCAAGTCAATCAAAATAAAAATCAATAGTCAAAGTTTTGTAATAAGGAGAAAATTATGATTAAAGTCAAAATTTAAAAAAAAAAAATCAAATTATTTTAAATACTGTAACATGTTAAAATTTGATAATTAGATGGCTAAAATGTTTTTTTTTTTTTTTTTTGTTTTAACCCTCTGCAGTTTTTTTGAATTAGGGATCTTCTTGGTTTATACTTTAGTATGGATATTTTTTAAATGATATTCTTGAATGAAAAATTATTAAATGCTCTTACAGTATCATTTGAAATTATCTCCATGCTACTCATGGCTAATGAATGAATATTAAATTATTTAAATCTTTTTATCTATTATTTAAAATTTGGAATGTTAACAAAATTTAATGGTAAAATAAATATGATTTTAACAAATATTTTAATACAAGCCCAAGAAAGAAGTATATATACTTTTTTTTGTCTTTTATATTTTTTCAACTTTGTTTTATAACTGTGTTATATTGCTGAAGAATTGTCTACTGTTCTTTTTTTTATGATAAAATTCTATAGCAATAATCCTTTGTAATTTATAGGTATTTATCGTTATAGATATTAAATTTGTATTCTCAATACAAATAGCTCCTTTTTTTTAGTCAAAATAAAATGTTATTTACCATTTTGTATTGAAAATTTATATGAAATGGAGATATATGGTAAAAATTACACCTAGAATGATTATAAGGAATCTTTCAAGGTACAAGTTTTGCCAATCTTATTGTTAGAAGTTCAAACATTATTATAATTTTGATGGCAAAAAGCAGAAGTTTAAAATGTGAAGGAAAAGTAATTTCACTACACTGGAGTCACTAACTTGATTTTATTACATGGTATAGTCAAAATACTTTGGGATAGGAAGTTGAGATAGCTACAGTAGATAATAAAAACATTTATTTTATTGGGCCTTGGGAATAAAACATTTTAAACCCAAGAAAACCACCTTCATTTAGTGTTTCTTGCCTGGTGGAGCAACATAGGAGGGTCCCCCATGACCTTGCCCAGACCCATATCCTGACCCAGACCCAGATCCAGATCCAGATTCATCACCTTCGCCATAATCACTACCTGCACCACCACCTCCTCCATTGCCGCTACCATATCCTGAATCTGAGCCTGAGCCTGATCCTGAACCAAACCCACTTCCTCCTTCCTTATCTCCCGAACCATATCCAGACCCCAAACCACCACCCCCACCCCCTCCACCACCTGACCCATATCCACCACCTTTGTCTATTCCAGAGCCCCCATCACCCCCGCCACCACCAGAACCAGGTCCATAACCACCACCTCCAATGCCTTGTCCACCTCCACCTCCACCTCCACCTCCAACTCCACCACCTTGTCCTCCCCCTCCACCCCCTCCAATGCCTTGCCCACCTCCACTTCCACCTCCAACTCCACCCCCATAACCACCACCTTGTCCTCCCCCTCCACCCCCTCCCATGCCACCAGAACCATAACCCAACCCACTCCCCTCACCCGATCCTCGTCCATAACCACCTGAAGCAAACCCTCCATAGCCAGGATCTTCCTTGTACTTATTCAGACCGTCAACACCATAACTCTGATAATTCATGAACCTCCCTTTTGTAGCAGCTTCAACAGTAGCATAACCACAGAGCCCCAAACACACCAAAACCAAGAAAACAAGACTCCAGGAAACCACGACATTATGTCTTCCCATGGCTCTCTCCCCAATTAGTACTCAAAAAAGTGAATACTGAATTGTAGTTGCAACCTCACAAAGAACACACCGCCAACCACTTAATTATATATATATATATATCCAACTAGACAAAGAAAAATAAACAATAAAACAACAAGAAAGAATGTCAAATATCAAAAAGCATGAAAAATGGGAAGGCCAGTCCTCTCACCATCTTTGTTATAGGCTGTGTAATGGACCTTTACCTAGCTAGGCTAAAGGATTGGGATTACCTAGATTGTGTAGCCTCATGCACAACCAAAAGAGAGCTAAATAGAGTGTCTAAGAGCAGAAGAAGATAATATTGTGGTGGTGGTGGTGGCGGCAATGGTCCTCCCTTTTTATAGAGAGTGTTTTTGTAGAGAGGGTGCAGAGCGGCATTGGGAGCATGGGTGGGGGATGGCCGCAACAGAGAGTGTGTGGGTGATAACGCATGCGAGGTGGTGCAGGTGGTGAGGACGATTTGCATGATGACCGGCAGAAGGATGCAAAGTACCACGCAGTAGTGGAGATAGGATTTTGATTTAAAAGAGTCACTATGAGTTAAAACCTTAACAAAAATTGTAATTCAATTTAATTTAATTTTTATTTTTTATTTGATAGTAGGACTAAAAATTAATGTGATATAAAAATTACATTTAAATATAAGTTCAAGTTAATTGATTATTATCTTTATTGTTATTAATTTAATTTTATGTATTATGATCATTACGGTTTAAAAAATAATCATATGCTCTCATGAAATATGAGAACAATTTTTTTATCAAGATGCACACACAAAAGAAAGGTGAATAAATAATATACAGCGGTTTTTATATATCGCTAAATTTGTTTTTCACGGTATTGAATAATTGAATTACATGAAAATATTTTATTAGATGTCATTAATTGTATAATAATTACTTGTAAAAAAAAAAAAAAGTCAATTATAAGTTCATATATGAGGGGGTATAAAATGACAAAAAATTTGTGACATATAACATTTTTCTAATATAGAATTTATAAGAACCTTTTTAGTTTAATCAAACATTTAAACTGACAAATTAAACAAATTTCTGTGGAAAAAAAAAGTAAAGAAAATAATGATATAAAATTTCAAAAAAATTACTTGAAAGGATTGAATTGAAATATTTTTTTTTTTATAAAGGCAAAAGTATAATTTTGGAAAAGTTGAGAGGGCACGCGACCGCCCTGGGCCTCACGTGCCTCCGTCCCTGGACCACGTGTTCATACTCCTTCACTAAGTATCATTCACCATATCATTTCATGTTTCTTAATCATCCAATACAAAATCATAATACTATACATTTTTCACCAATCATAATATTATAGAGTACTACGCGACCATACTCTGAGAGTATCCAATAATCACCCATGAGAATCATTTTCAAAGTGGAAGTAATCAATTAAATTAAGGGCTTTTTATTAATAAACCCTATTTAGAAGTGTTCTAATCCAAGAAATTCATGAAGGAATTTTTTAACCCACTTAATCCCATGTATTTATACTTTTATTCCATAAAGTCTTTTTTCTTGATTTACATTATTTTCTTAGACTCCTATACCCTTATATTTAATATTGATAATGTTGGGGGAGGAAAGAGAAGGGAAAGGATTAAGGCATAGGAAATTTCATATACAAATTAAATAATATTGATGTTATTATTTTATATTTTTATATAATGTGAATATATTTTTAATTGACAAAATATTAAAAATAATATGAACATTCTCTTTCATCTGATGTGAATATATTTTTAATCGACAACATATTAAAAATGTACGGACATAAAAAATACTGTATTTAATGATAAAGGAATCCAATGACGAAGATGATCATCACTACCACATAATCGCTATCTACAAGACAAAATACCCCCAGCCGTAGCCAGGGGTTTTCCAATGCCCAAGTCGGTCCTCCAATATTATCAAAATATTTAATGGACTAATTCATAGAAAGAAATTGTGTACCTTAACCCATGAGGATGTTGCCTATTTATAATATCCAGTGACTTACTTAGTAAGTAGTTTGAATGTTTCAGAAGTCATATCCCAAATAATCTCTGGTTGTGGAGGACTTCCATATCGATAAGATTTCATGTCCTGACGAGTTTTGCACAACACAAAGTACTAATGCAGTGTTTGATAAGAATTTGATAACTGTTATACGCATGATAATGTGGTAGTGTTGGGACCCACATAATTCTTGTAGTTATTTTTATTCCCTCTCAATTGCCCCCAAGCTTTCATTCTCTTTGAACCTAGTGAAAGAGTGGAAGCTTTTTGTTGTTCTAATAAAAATAGCCGTGTAATAATGCCTAGTTAAAACCATACATGGGTGTTAGGGCTTATTCCAAAATGCATAACTTTATTAGGACTTATTTCGAAAATGTCTAGCCTTATTGAAACTTATTTCAAGAATGCCTAACCTCGTTAGGACTTATTCCGAAAATGCCTAGCCTTGCTAGGACTTATTCCAATAATGCCTACCTCGTTAGGACTTATTCCGAAAATGTCTTGTGAGGATTTATTCCGAAAATACCTTGTGAGGACTTATTCCAAGAATACCTAACCTCGTTAGGACTTATTCCGAAAATACATAACCTTGTTAGGACTTCTTCTAAGAATGCCTAATCTTGTTAGGAACTACCAAAACACCAACTTGCTTATTAGCAAGCAAAACATGCTCGGCAAGAAATCTCACTGTTGGACAAAGCACCAACTTACTCTGTAAAAAATTTCAAAGTTGATCAAACTTGCCAACTTACTTCGCCAAGCAAAACCCGCTCGACAAAGATTTTTTATCAAACCTGCCAACTGTAGACACCCTATTTTTGACCGACCTTAAGACGTAGACGTCATCGATTGAGCGCTCGGTGATAGTGCATGTTGTGCTCATTTCGAGCTTCGGAGTTTTGGCTGAGAGCCTTGTCTCTGGGTCTCCGAACTCTTAGTGCTTCGGCTCGATTTGCGGATCAAAGCCTTGTTTCCCTTCCCGGAGGGGGGAAAGAGAGGTCTTGTAGACCATCTCTCTGTGGTCGTAGACTGCTTTTCGTGGTCGTAGGCCACTTTTCCCGTGTGGAGACTAGTTTTCGATTTTTGGAGCCTTCGGTTGTGTGCCTTGTTTCGGGACCACTTAACGTTCTCCGTTTGGCTTAGTTTTTGAACCACACCTTGCTTCCTCTCCCTAGAGAGACACTGTGGTCCGAGAGACCACTTTTTGTGGTCGTGTACCACTTTTGGTGCTCAACAGTTGGGTTTCGAGGCTCCCGGCTGCGCGATTTGCCTCCCGAACTCTTGTTTTGCATCCATGTTGGTTTGTTTTTGGTACAAACCTTGTTTTCCTTGCTTGGAAGGTGGTACGATGATGGGAGACTGATTTTTTCCCGTGGAGACCACTTTCCTTCCCGCCAGCCGGTTTTCTGGTCGGGAAACTGGTTTTCTTGGTCTTTAGGCCACCTATTCTGGTCTCCTCCCCACCATTGGCTTGCTTTCAGTGTGGAGACCACCAATTCCCCCTGCCAACCACTTTTTTTTCTGGGAGACCACTTGAAGTGGTCGGCCGACCACTGCTAGTAGTAGGCCGACCACTTTAAGTGGTCTGCACCTCTCCCCCTGTTTTGGCAGACTGTGTGAATGCCAGTTGTGCCAGCTGAAGGGCACAGACTGTATCCTCCATACACGTGTATGGAGGGATAACATCCAAGTTTTAGTTTCTCCAAGAAAATTTAACCTTTGTTTTTCTATAAGAGAGAGGCCCTCTCTCCATTGCAAGGGTTCTGATTTTGGGCTGAGGAGATAGGCTTACACTCTCTCTATATCCCTCTCTTTCTCTCTTTATATTGGTGCTTTGCTTCACACTTATACACACAACCTCTCTTACCTTGTTGCTGAGTTGTTGGAGGTTCTTGAGGGAGCTCAAGAGGTGGTTTTGGCTTAAGAAATCTGCTGGTTTTGCAGTGTTTCAAGGGTAACCTGTTTTCTTCCTGTTAAGCTTTATTTTGGTTGCTCTATTGGTCTCATTTGCATGCTTATTTAGGCCTTGCTTTCAACTAGAAAAAGTTTTGTATTCAAGTGTTTTTAATGTTTGTTTAAGGCCTCTTGGGTGTTGAGGGTCTTCTACTCTCTTGCATGTCTTATTTAGCCTTGTTTTGTGCCATGGTTTAAGGCCTTTGAGCTAGTCCTTGCTTGGCCTTCTAGCCACTGAAATCTAGTGAATTTTCAGTGGTAAGCATGTCATTTTGAGGCCTCAAATCAGAGGGGGGTGATCCTCTCTCTTCTTGTTTTGTTTGCTTGCATTTTTGGCCTATCAAAGGAGCATGCATTTGCATACTTTCAAGGCTTGGTTCAGGCACTTTTTCATGACTTTTAGGGCCTGCCTTAGCTCTGTCTATGGCTAGTTTGGTCACCTTGTGTTTGCTTCTTGTATGTGTAGTGTAATCCCATTTATGGCCCATCAAAGGAGCATGTCTTTCTAGCATGTATTGGCTCCATTTCAGTAGATTTTGGGTCATCATTTGACATGTCATGACTCTGTTTTTGGCTGGTTTGGTAGCCTCTTGCATGCTCCATATGCTTGTAGTGTAAATCTTGTTGACTAGCTTTGTATGCATGATGTTCTGGCTCATTATCCTAGCATATTTTGGCTATGTTCTAGCATGATTTTGTTCTTATTTTGGGTTGTCTTAGCTCTATTTTAAGGCTTCTTGGTCAATTGAGGATTGTCATGCATGCTTGTAGTGTAATAACCTTGACTAGTTTTGAGTTTTGAGGTCTCTTGCATGCTTAACTTGAGGTATTTGCATGTTTTGGCATCATTGAGAATGATATTTTAGAGCATGTAGGGCTGTAACACTTTCATATTTTTCACTCTTTAAGTGTTCTTAAGAGTTGTGCCCTTATGCCTTGTTTGCGAGCTAATTCGGGGGCCTATCTTTCTTGCCATCTTTGTTGCGATTTTAGCTTGTTTTTGTTACCATT